AGGCCACGGCCGCCGAGCCGCGCACTCCCGGCTTGTGACCCGCAGGTTATGGAAGGTGGGCATGGTTTACACCGGCGAGCAACTTGTTCCCTTTTTATTATTATTATGATTATTCTCAGTGTTAATATTAGTAGTAATAGTGGTTCAATATAATAATGCTTACAGGGTGAGGAGTGGAATGCTATTTTCTAGTCTCAAGAAAAAAGGCAGGGAAATCTGTCATAGTGTCTACAATTAGAAATGTAATATAATATAATATGTGATGTTTGTAATATAATGTAATGAAAATAATATAATGTGTACTGTGCTATGGAATATAATATACAATGTAATAGGAATACAAGTCTCTTCCCCTTCTTTGATATATAAACAATGTGCAATGTGTTTGGCAGGGTCACTAATTTCATGTTTAAATGCAGTCAGTTTGTGTTCTGCAGGCCGTATTTGGAGCAGAAAAAAGAATGAGAGAAAGGGGAGTTATTCCCATTAAAAAAAAAATGAATTAGTTATTCTTCAGTCTGTCATTGAAAAGGTTTTCAACCTGGCCCAGGAATTTGATGTTTATGTAAGAGCATATTATGAACACGAGACACTTGTTTTTGACATTCTTGTTGCTGATTTTTGCCATTCAGATTTCCCTTCCCTGTCTTCCTTGCCCCATTCTACTTCACACATTTAATTATACTGTTTTTTATATTTGTGTTTTGATAAATCTTTTCAGCAAAAGGAACACAATCATATCCAATCCCTCCTATCCAATCTTTATCTGTTCTTACTGTTTTCCAGTTTAAGGATTTGTCACACACACACACACACACACACACACACAGCCTTATGCTGCTTATTTGACAATCACTGGTGAAATAAACATTCAAATGAATAGCTTGGAAGAAAGTGATTTCATAATATTTACCTTCTTTCTTGATTTTTCTATTGATTAATTTTTCTTAAATAAATGCATTAATATTTGATATAGGAAGAGAAGCCACTGGACGGCTTCCTGTATCAATTGATCCATACATGTCTACTGCGTGTTCTTAATTTGCACTTTTGTTGCTGCTTGTACCTTTCTTTCCCTTGCTGCTGAATTCAGTGGGGAGGGACATGAGAACATAGAACAAAAGAAGTGCCATCCTAGGTTAGACCAATGGTCCATCTGGCCCAGTATCCTGTCACCAACAATGGCACAAGTGGATGCTATACATACAGGGAGGACACAGAACCTGGTATCTTTAAAGTAATCTATTCCTTATTCAATACTCTCCCTAGCATCCACCACTTACTGGGTTATTGCTGCCAGAGGGAACATTTCCAAACATTCTGTTCCACAGGGAGAGGGAGGGGAAAAGCAAACAGTGGCAGTGTTCACCCATTAGACTTAAGAGCCCTGGAAAGCAAGGGGCTCCAGCCAGATCCTGCCCAGATCAGCTGGTGAGCTCAGAGCTCACTGCTCATACAGACTCAGGCAGAAGCCTGTGTGGACCAGACAGTGAGCTCACACCTCACTGTACATACGTAGTTAAAGTAGGGGGCATCACTCCACCTTGCTTTCTTAGATTCACTACTGCTTTGTTATCAATTGCCCAATAACCATAGATTCATAGATTATAGAGTAGGAAGGGACCCAATGGATCATCATGTCTGACTCCCTGCCCCTGGCAGGAAAGAGGACCGAGGCAGACGACCTCAGCCAGGTGCTTGTCAAGTCTCCTCTTGAATACCTCCAAGTTAGGTGATAGCACCACCTCTCTTGGAAGCCCGTTCCAGACTCTGGCCACCCTTATTGTAAAAAAAATATTTCTACTGTCTAACCTAAATCTACTGTCCACTAGTTTGCACCTATTATTCCTAGTTACTCCCTGAGGCGCTCTGGTAAACATTGGCATCCTCAATTCCCTGCTGTCCTCCCCTGATAAATTTATAGGCGGCCACAAGGTCACCTCTCAGCCGTCTTTTGTATAGGCTGAAGAGATCCAGATCTCACAACCTCTCCTCGTAGGGTCTTTCACAAAGACCACTAATCATGCGGGTGTCTCGGACGGCCAGAACCGACTCGAGGTGATTTAGTAATTACTCGTTCGTTGGGCGGGCTGGTGAATAGAGAGGCGGACAAGGCTTAATGGTTGCAAAACTTTACTTACGCCGCTTGTAGCTGCGATGCTGACGGTCCGGTCGTCTGAACAATTATGTTAGTTGTTCCAGCTGGCAGGGCTCAGGCTAGCTCATCCGTCCACAAATCAAGCCGGCGGGGCAAGGGTACGTCGGGGATTGCGCTCGGCGACAGGGAGAAGAATCGATAGGTGATCAGTCTATTGATCAGCTCAGCCGCAAGTCAGATCTCTTTAGAGGCACTCTGCAGCGTGCTCAAAGTTCTCCGACTTGGGCGGAAGTCGCACAAAATTTTAAATGGCTAGCAAGCCAATTACT